TAATGCGTGTATGAGTGCTCTTGACGCACTGATCACACATTGTATTTATGCACAGGCACAGACATTTCTGTACATTCACGTTGTTTCCACACATTCCACGTTGTTTCCACACATTCACGATAATGTTTTGATTTGTCATGTGTATGTTGCTGTGTTTAGTTATTCTGAATGGATCCGTAGATATATGCAGTCAGCAGGCGGTTGGTTTAGGGCTTTTTTGGCATCTCCATGTGGTCCTGTTCGGTATCGCAACTCGGTTTCTCTAAAATGTAAAAAAGCTCTTTGCTGTTGCACTGTACACATACTATAAAATTCTTTTTTTTTTTCTTTCATATGTGCTTATTTGTGCTCCTTATATCATTTGGTTCTCTGATGTCCTTTTGGAGTTTCTAAGTGTCCTTTTTTGGAAAGATATCTAAATTTATCTTGAAAAAAGCTTGCAGAAAATATAGATTTTTGAGAATCACCCTTCAATCTTTTGGTTTACTTTGCTGGATATAGCAAATGATGACAAAATAAACATTTGAAACAAGATAAATGGTCTATGCTTAATTTCATGAAGTGTGCGATTAAATCGCAATTAATCACAGAAAAAGGATGCGATTAATCAGATTAAAAATTGTAATCGATTGACAGCCCTAATTTATATATATAATAAATATAAACAGTACACACACATATATTATGTAAACAAAGTTTTATTTTGGATGCGATAAATCACAATTAATCGTTGCCCAGCACTAATATAAATATATTAAAATTAGGGGTGTCGATTTAACGTGTTAATGTAATTAATTAGTTATGGAAAAAAAGCTGCGTTATAATTTTTAACCAAGCCGCAACATTCTGGTCTCTCTCTTGAAACCAACATGTAAGCGACTTATACTGCAATTCATCAACTGGCCACTAAAGACTGGCTCCAAAAGTGAGTCAATCCCATAGATTGATTTATTTTCAAGTTTTCAAAAATGCTCTTCAGATACCTACGGGTGACATCACGGACACTACGTGCATGTTTTTTTACAGTCTATGTAACAAAGTCAGAGATCAGGAAGGAAGAGGACGGGGTCGGGTTGACTGCTACTGGTGGTTTTATTTAGTTTTCAGTAAACAAACAGAACGTCGCTCTACCAGCACTCAATATAACACAGTGCATAAGCAATATAAACTTGGGGCTCTCTAGAGCACATGGTTTCCACGCACACACATCCACCAGTCAGCAGTCTGTCCCTCTCTGTCAGCTTCTCATTTACCAGTCTCTTTATGCGGTCTCTCCACGCCAATTACTGAAACAAGACAGAGGTGTTTGTCATTTGCACTTGACCCACTTACTCACCGCTCGTCTCCCAACTCTCTCTCCCGCTGCAGACCTTGCTGAACTACCCCCCCTCGCCACACTACGTTTTTAACGCAATTAACGTACCCTCCCTGCCCCACATACGTCATCTTACATTTCATAAGATGTGTTAGATTTGAAGCGGCGCTGTGCATACAGATGATGGGTGTTTGACATCACAGTACCACGAGGGGGTTAAAGTCCGTGTAAAGTCAATATTAAATGTGTGTTCTGAGTTTATCACACCACAGATGAAATGTGTTATTAACCACCCAGCCAAATTTGAATGCTAAAAAAAAAAAACCGCCAAGTGAAAAAAAATATTGCCAAATGGAGGTTTCAAAAAGCATTGAATAAAAGGGTGCCGTTAATTGTGTCCAATGTGTATTAGAGAAAAACATTTGTCAATGATATTTCCCCCCATTTTAAATTCTTATTCTCCAATGAAAGGTCAGATTTCTGTGAATTTTTTTAATAAAAGATCAACATGATTAATGTTACCAAGGCTGCCAATAATTCTGATCACGACTGTATATACATATATATATATATATATATATATATATACACACACACACATACTACTGGTCAAAAGTTTGGGATCAGAACTATTTTTAATGTTTTTAAAGGAGTTTCTTATGTTCATCAAGGCTGCATTTATTTGATCAAAAATACAGGAAAAAATTTAATATTGTGAAATATTATTATGATGTAAAATAACATTTTTAACATTTAACATATACATTAAAATCGAATTTATTTCTGTGATGCAAAGCTGAATTTTCAGCATCATTACGCCAGTCTTCAGTGTCACATGATCGTTCAGAAATCATTCTAATATGCTGATTTATTATCAGTGCTGGAAACTGTTGTGCTGCTTAATATTTTTTTGGAACCTGTGATACTTTTTTCAGGATTCTTTGATGAATAAAAAGTTAAAAAGAAGAGCATTTATTTAAAATAGAAATCTTTTCTAACAATATACACTACAGTTCAAACGTTTGGGGTCAGTACATTTTGATTCGTTCTTTTTTTGAAAGAAATTATAACTTTTATTCAGCAAGGATGTGTTAAATTGTTAAGAAGTGATAGCAAAGATTTATATTGTTAGAAAAGATTTATATTTTGAATAAATGCTGTTCTTTTGAACTTTTTATTCATCAAAGAATCCTGAAAAAAGTATCGCAGTTTCCAATATTTTTTTGGGCTGCACAACTGTTGCCAACATTGATAATTCTAATAATAAATCAGCTTTGCATCACAGAAATAAATTATATTTTAAAGGATATTAAAATAAAAAACATTATTTTATATTGTCATAACCTTTTGCAAGATAACTTTTTTTTCAGTATTTTTGATCAAATAAATGCAGCCTTGATGAGCATAAGAGACTTCTTTAAAAAACATTACAAGGTTTACTGATCCCAAACTTTTGAACGGCACTGTATATATATATATATATATATGATAATACGCTACAATATGCTAATATGATACGATTTAATTCCTCTCATTTTATTTTGTTTTTATTTTATAAACTTAATATTTCTTTTAAAATTTAAAGTTAAAGTTTTAAAATATTTGTATTTTTGTACCTACTTGCTGTTCGTACTTTTTGTATCTATCATTTTGAAAAGCAAATATTGTTAGAGAAAAAGATCAAATTTAAATATTTTGTTGCAATACTCCCGTTTTACACATTTTTTAAATCATTCTGCATAATTCTAGTAATTCTACAAATCAGTGCAAGTGCAAAAATCAGTGCAGATTTCAAGTGGGTCCTGTTAGCAGTAGCCAAGTTCCTTGGCATACCTTTGATTTGGAAAAAAAGTGAGACTTGCATTTGATGCTTTATGGAGAATAAAGAGCTGAACCGTGTTGAGCAATGAATCATTCAGGTGAGTAAAGGTGAAGTGACCATGAGTTTTCCACCTGCTAGAGGAACAGGTGACTGCAGTCGCTTTGACAGTGTGATCGGCAGACTGTGTGATCACGCATTTGTGATGTGTGTGTGTGTAGGTGGCTTGCTGTCATACGGTCCTGAGACTCCACTGAGGTCTTTTTCATCAGCAACCAGAGGGTGGGCGTGTTGTTAATGCTAAAATGTTTCTAGGAGCAGGAATAGAAAGTGCATGTCAGGCAGCCAGCAGGGTGATGCGTTTGATGGGATTACACCATCACACAGATTGACTAATGACAATTAACCTCTAACCCCCCTCTTGATATGTCTAGAGCCGCACATTGTTAATGGGTGGTTTGTTCCTGTAGTGAAGCCATGTGTTGGTTTGTCTGAATTATATTAAAAACTATAATTATGTGCTATAATATCATAGTCTCTTATACTCACCAAGCTGCATTTATTTGATAAAAAAATACGATAAAATTAGTAATATTGTGAGATATTATTACAACTTAAAGAACTGTTTTCTATTTGAATATATTTTAGAACGTAATTTGTTGCTGTGACGCAAAGCTGAAGTTTCAGCAGCCATTACTTCAGTCTTCATGTCACAATACTTCAGAAATCATTCAAATATGATGATTTGCTGCTCAGTTATTATCAATTATCATTGGTGATGATTTATTAATAATGGATCTTATTATTGTCAATATAGAAACATTTTGCTGCTTAATATTTTTGTAGAAACAAATTTTTTCAGGATTCTTTGATGAATAGAAAGTTCAAAAGAAGAGCATTTATTTGAAATAGTAATCTTCTATAACATTATAAATGTCTTTACTGCCACTTTTGATCAATTTAATGCATCCTTGCTGAAAAGTATTAGTTTCTTTTTTTAAATGTTACATTAGACTTTTGAATTGTAGTGTAACACGGTTTTCACAAAAACATTAAGCAGCGAAAACTGTTTTAAACATTTATAATAAATGTTTCTTGAGCACCAAATCACCATAATAAAATGACTTCTAAAGGTTCATGTGACACTGAAAACTGAAGTAACAGCTGCTGAAAATTCACCTTTGACCATCAGCGCTGCTAAAATGCATACATGTATGTAATGTAGTATTTTTGGCTGGAAACTAAATCCAAAAATGTCTTAAAGATTACATAACCATCTAGTAAAATTTATTTTTGTATAATCCAGTGATTTAAATACATAACAAATGAAAAGTGCCTCATTTCATTCTTCTGTTTATATGGAACTGGATGGATGCAAACAAGAAGACCATTAAAAAACAGCGGCTTCACGTTATATAAGTCTTGAGTTAAAAACAAAAGACTCGCAACAGTAATACATTATACATTTGATTGGATGAGCCACATTCAGAGACGTTATATTCACACCTGCCACTTCACATTAGTTACATTCTTTATTAATGCACCAATGTGTGATGCATGGTGCTCTGTTTTGTGAATGCGAATAAAATCCTTACTGAGGGGGCGTTTGAGCCGATGTGAGGCCCAAAGACAGTCTGCATCTTGTGTGTGTATGTTGGTGCCCAGGGGGAGTTGTAGGTTACAAAAACACCCTGCCGTAACCTTGGCAAAGATAAACAATGCAAACTAAGACCAAAATGGGGTGACGATCCCTCTGCAAAGCTTGTCTATAACGAAGACCAGAAAGTTCCCTGCAACACAAACCTTTTTAAATTGATTACCAAACATCTTGAGAAGCGTATGAAGTATTAAGTCTTGTCAACTTTAGCACTTGTCATGTTTGCAGTTTGACGCTTAAACAGATAGTTCCAAATCTGTTTGGTTGAGCCACTTTTGAAGCTGTAATATGCACATAATCCCACTCTGTCTGTCTGTCTTTTTTTTTTATGGTTGGTGTTTACGCAGTTGGCTAGAGCAGTGCTGATTGAGGAGAACGGAGGTGCGCTCACTCTTGCCCAGGGCAAGTAAGATTGCAACTCAAGGCTGGCAGTCATGCATATGCTCTGGAACAGAGTAATATCGCGTCCATATCGCAGGCTTTGCGATTAGGAAATCGCAACGTCTCAAATCGCGATTTCGATTAGATTTCGATTAATCGCACAGCCCTAATATATATATATATATATATATATATATTATAGAAACAAAATAAAAAAACTTTCAATGGATACTGTATGTTAAATGGTTTGAGCTGCCTTAATTGCAGAACATTAAAAAAATAAAAAGGGAGAGAAATTCCAATACAGTGCTGTCTTAAACTTAAAATAGTGGGACAGGAGTATAATTTTTTTATTTTGTTGTGATGTTCAAATTCTGATATCTGCTAAGCTTTTTTGAAGCTCTGTGGGCACGGTTTCCATGCGGGTTTATAACTGTCTTTCAAAAGAAGGTTTTATGGCTAACCTTAACTGACCTTGACCATAAAAGCTTGTCTTTCCCATCCCAAATGGCTGGCCTTCCCTCTCTTTACCTTCTGTAGGTGCATGTTCTTTGTCAGTTGCTCTTCCAGCATGTTCTGCAGCTTTTTGTTCATCTCACGCAGGTTCTCGTCTCCAGGTTTTACCAAGTCCCTCAGCACAGAACTCAAACCTCCACGTTCACCCTGAGCACCATGGGCCACCGCACCTCCTCCGGATACATCTGAGAGAAAGAGAGAGGAAAAAGGTGCAATTTTAGAGATGGCAAACATTCTATCACTCCGACTTGTGCTTTTTAACCATGTTTTCTCCAGTAATGCTTCAACATCCATGAATAAAGATGATCTCTATCAGGGGGCCATTAGTGTCTGCTGAGTGAATACAGAGTGCTTGCGTTTGGAGGAAAGCATTTCGAACGGCTCTCGCCTCACGCGGCACAACAATGATGAGCACCTCGAGTGCAATCATCCGCAGGTTTGACGAAAAGCTGTGCACGTCTTAAAGCTGGCAAATAAACAACGCTGCACATTCACGAGAGCCGCCGATAATGAATTCTAGCTTTCAGGAAATTCAAACCCCGGTTAAGGTAGAGAGAATGGCAGTAAGGATGGAGTCAAATTAAAGGCAGCACAACAAAGTCTGTTGACAGGGTTCATGACAGTAACATGCAACCAAGGAAGTGACCGTAAGCAGGGGACATCGGTGTGGGGTTGTAACTGGACAAGGTTGTGTGTTAAAAAATGAAAGATGTTGCTTAATTGATGATTAATGGAGGCAAGAGAGCAGAAGTGCTGAGATACTGGGTTGCCTGCTTAAAGCCAGGCTACTCAGATGTTGTCAGGTTCCTAGTGAACTGTCAGATAGTTTAGTGGAGTTTTTCCTCTGAGGGAGGACAGGGAATCGAGCTGGCCAGCCTCTGCGTGTCAAGGGCAAAAGCAATAAGTTCGATCGGGATGCTTCTTACTCGGTTTTCACTTCATATGTGTGAGTGGAGACATTCAAGGTCAGCTCAGCAGTGTGTCCCTAAACAGTGCTGTCAAATAACCTCTTACACCTGTGGTCTGATGATGGAGCACATGGGAAATGTGCCACTTCCTGCGGGTGTTTAAATGCAGTTTCCAATAAAATCTCTGTGGAGGCAAAAACATGTTTTATTATGTAAAAAAAGACATTGGGCTATAGTCAGTGTTACTAAATGAACACATCTTTGTTAACTTAAATAAAACTAAAACTAATTTAAACAAAGTAATATATAAACAGAACAATAAAAAAGATGAATTACAAATAAATAAATAAATAACTGAAAAACTGAAAATAAAATACATTTTATGACTCATAAAATCTGACTCACAAAACTAACATAAAATAGAAATAGAAAAAAGGGGGATAGAAAATATAGTAAAGAAATGTAACGCACCTATATAAATGATATCAGTTAACACCCTAATTTACTAAAATTAAAACAAATACTAAAACTAAATAAACTAAAAAAGATCTGATGAAACAAATATAATGTTAGAATAACATTTTAAAAATTAATCTTTTTTTAAACATAATTTACTTTTCAAAACAGTACAAATACCAAAAGTACAAATACTAAGTAGGTACAAAAAAGTAGTTTTAAACTTTAATCTTAAATTTCAAAATAAATATAAAGTCTATAAAATAAAATAAGAAAAAAAAAATTTATAAAAAAAAAAAATTATGCTGTATGAATTTAAAAAAAAAATTGATGCTGTATGAATAAAATAAAAATGTATAAGAAACAATTAAATATATTTGTGCTGTAGTAAAATAAAAAAAAATAAATATATTTATGTTGTAGTAAGTGGTTCGGACTGCAATGATGCCATGGACAGAAGCACAAATTTGTTGAAGAATCAAACTAAAACGAAGCAAGAGAGTTAAAAATAAAAATAAATTTAAAAAAAACAGAAAAAGGAAACCACAGTGGGTAGAGAAAAGAATCACTTTAGTAATGAAAAAAAACCTGATTATATACACGTTTAATCAAGCGATGCACAGTAACCTGAAGTTGCTTAAGCGACTGTGACCTGTTCTCAAGACAGACCATGTCACAGTTAGCTGAAGAACTTGCATTGTTACATCACAGTACATTAGTCTAAGCACTAGCAATCTCACGCCTCTTTAACCTTATAAGATTGGCGCAAGAATAGTGTATATGTGTGGCTAACAGTAGAGCCTCACACGTGTTCAACATTAGCGTAGCACATGAGCATTGCCGGTCGCAGTGAGCCAATGCCATAGCCCAGAGCTACGAAAATGAAGTAGAACGTGATGCACCGGTGCTAATTGAGATGTTAACTTCACCCCCCAGAGGCCCGTTCAACCTTTTAATGCATGGCGTTAAGCGTTGAAGGCCATGAATGACATTTGCCTCGCCCCTGAAGCCTGACAGTAAACACCACAAGGTGCAAAGCGCACGCAGTTTTTGCTCTTTATCTGGACTATAAGATAATTAACCTTGTCTGCTTACCACAGAAGCATAGAATGAACACTGTGGCCCATGAATATTTGCAGCTTTAAAACGTCAAATGCATACAGTATTGCTGCATTTTATGGTTAACGAAAACATATAACTTAAAAACGATGTGAAAACGTCTTTGAACAAAAATAATAAAAACAATCAAATGAAAACAAAAACGAAATTACTTAAAGATACAAATTTTCATGACTCTGAACCCAACTAAAATAAAACAAAAATGGCCACAAATTAATTTTAGGGTTTTATATATGGTATCTTATAAAACTAAAGGCCGTTACAACCCGCCTGCATAAAACAAGAAAATGCCACTGGATAGCAATTACATTAGACTGCAGTAAAATACTTTATGGTATTAAACGCTTTAAATTACACCAGTTAGCGCAACGATTTAACACACTACAACGAAAACTAAATAAACAAACTAGACAATTAAAAAACAAATGATAAAATAAAAAATAAAAACTACACTAAATTGAAAGGACAAATTACTAAAAAAAAATTTTTACTATAATAACTCGCACGCATCTATAATGGAAAGGAGATGGAGTAAAATTAGCAATTGAATGTCCTACTATTTAACCTTTTTTTTTTTCAAACTTGTGTCCTTTTCCAATAACCACTGCTTAGCATAGCAGCCAAATAGCCCATTACAACCAATGCATTGCTTCATTAGAATTCTATTAACATCTACAGCAGGGAAATCACAGGCTTCATCTTGTGATGCTGCAGTGTCTCCTTTCACCATGCCGTAATTCCCTCCCTGTACAAATAATTCACGCTGAAGTTAATGCATCTGACTCTTTAGGGAACAAGACCAGCAAATCCTTCGATGGCTACATCAATGTTTGTGCTAATGACATAGCAAATGGAAAAACGCACACCGGTCTGTAACCAGTATTTCTTCCATATTGATCAGTGTCATTAATTCAAATTTGCTGGAGCGTAGGGGCAAGGATTCTATGGAGACGCTTTGATAAATCCACAAAGGAGATTTACAAAGAGGACTCCCTGCTCTAATGGCTGGAAAATGCTGGGCCAATGTCTTTCAAAGGTGTGGAATGGCGCCAGGCGCTCTCGCAGACAGAGTTCCGCTGCAGGACCAGCAGGGGATGTGAACCTAAGAAGCCAAGTCACGGAAGCAAATGAAGACGAGGAATGGAAAGTACACTGAAGGCACGCAGATGTTCCTGACTCACGACTCGGGGGATCCCCGATCACACGCTCGGCTGAACTACGTCAGAACAGTGCTGAGGTCACAACCTGCAGGACTTGACAGGGTTGTGCACCATTAAGAACTGAATTGAAAATGCCTTTTAAATTCCAATTCAGTTACGGACTATGAATTTTAATTTAGGTACCAATCAGGATGCAGAATTGCAACTTTGAAAGCAGGGGAGTAGAATTAACATTACCTGAAATTCAAAGGAAACTACAGTCGGAATTGAACAGAATTGGACAAGAAATGTTTAAATGTTGAAACCATTTTGGAAAAAGCTTCAAAAGACTTGAAATTAAAGGGGCCTTACAAATAGATAACACAGACAAATAAAATGATAGGCAGGCAGACAGACAGAAAGATAGATAGAATGACTGAAGGATAGATACACAGAGACAGACAGACAGACAATTATATAGACTAAATGACAAATAGACCAATAGACAGACTGATAGACACACTGATAAACAGAACAACAGACAGACAGACAGACAGACTGATAGATCAATAGATAGAATTGCTTTGAACTGCAACTTATATGGTATGGGCAATTTAATTCAAATTGTAAGTCATGAACTTGAAGGGAGCAAATTAGTCAACTCTGAATTCTGCACAACTGTGGTACTTAAAGGGATAGTTCACCCCAAAATGATAGCCCATAAATTACTCACCCTCAAGGCATCCTAGGTGTATATGACGTCCTTCTTTCAGATGAATCCAATTGGAGTTATATTAAAAATTGACTTTGATATTCCAAGCTGTTTAATGGCAGTCAGCGGGTGTTGCAGTTCATCAGTCCAAAAGAAGTGAAATAAAGCGCATCCATCCATAATAAAAAGTGCCTCACACGGCTCCGGGGGGTGAACAAAGGCTTCCTGTCGAAATCGATGCATTTTTGTAAGAAAAATATCCATATTCAAAACGTAATAATCCCTTTAATCTAGCTTGCCCCAACAGTTGTACATGGAAGCAGCTCCGGGAGTATGGCGTAAGATGTCGTCGTTGCGCATGCATCAGTGAGTCTCCTGAAAACCAACGTTTGTTTATAGGAGCAAAGGAAGCAAAGTTTCCTTACTTTAGCAAAGGAAAAACAGTCTCCTCTTGGCTTATATTGAAATCCTCCGACATTCTTCTTTACAAATCATCATTTTGTACTTCTAATTCGTGACCGATGTTTTGTTTTGATCTCTCCACTGCGCTTCCACGTTTGTCACTTCTGAGCGGCACATGCGCAACGCCGACGTTCTTCGTCATCCGCCTGGAGCTGCTTCCGTGTACAACAGTGAGCGCAAGCTAGATTGAATTGATTATTACATAATATGGTTAAACGCATCGATTCGCTACAGGGGGTCTATGTTCACCCCCCAGAGCCGTGTGAGGCACTTTTTATTATGGATGGATGCGCTTTATTTCACTTCTTTTGGACTGATGCACTGCCACACCCGCTGACTGCCATTAAACAGCTTGGAAGATCAAAGACAATTTTTTATATAACTCCAACTGGATTCGTCTGAAAGAAGAAAGTCATATACACCTAGGATGCCTTGAGGGTGAGTAATGTATGTGCTAATTTAAATTTTTGGGTGAACTAACCCTTTAAGAGCAAAAAGGGCCTTCTGCATGTAAGAATAAAAAGATAAGTGAAGATAGTGATGTTACAGTGGAATATCACGCCAGCCAGAGCTTGGCCTTGAAGAATGTCCTCTTCAGGCTTTGAAGCACCAATGCAAGTTTCAAGATAACAGCAAGCATACAATTACCATGTGAACCCCACAGAAACACTGGCCACTTCTTAGCAAGCCTCACTGGGAATCTACTCAGGCCGGGGCAGGAGTCAGCAGTCCTGAATCAGTCAAACTGGCAGATCCTGTACGGCGGCTGCGACCTTTCAGCCATCACTCACTGGAGACACAGCACTTAACTGAAACCTCTGCCAGGGGGCAAACAGGAAATTTCATCTTGACAACAAGGATTCTTCCTGTTTGCAGCCATGTGTTATTCCCAGTTACAGATGTCACTCCTTCTTTCGAGGGATCCGTGTGGATATCGATGATCTGTTCTTCTCATATTTGTTCTTGCAACCTCGGCAAGTAGAGTGAGCCCATTAGCACCCACTCCCGGTGGTGTAATTCACTCTAAAGTGGACCAAATTTGCTTGTAGAGGGAAGAAAAATAATTCTGCTGTGACTCACACTCGCTCCCATTATCTCAGTGGGTTCTGGAGCTATAGGGCACGCGATAAGGATAGTTTATTCCTTAAATGATGCAGCAGGGAGAGGCCGTAGTACACTGAAAGGTTAGCTTACTTCACGCTTCAGTAGAGGTCTAAAACAGGGTACAAGTAGGCAGGCAGAGGGTTTCCAGACTGCAGCAGCGTCTCACCCCAGCTGACTTCTTCCAGCAGCACTTAGGCGGAGCGAAGACTGTGCACACGCGACTGCGGCATGTTGCTGAATAGTTGATTAGTGGAGGCTGTGCAAATAAACCATCCTACAGCTGTCTTACATCACACACATGCCAAACTCTACAGAGAAACATTCATTTATAATTGCCTACCGCTGCTTAACGGCTGACATTTTCAGCATTTGTCCTAACGAATACTGGATGATCCTGGGGTTGCATTGCTGGGAATGAGTGTCTGAAATACAACAGAGACATTTCCACAGTTGTGGGACTGATCTGCGCAATGCTGTAAAACTGTTGTGCCTTTTACAATCCGCAGTTTCTTCTATGCAATCCCTACGTTGAAGGGGAGAATGTGGCAGAATATTTTGGGAAGTGAAGTGTCAAGAATACCCCCAAGGTGGCATACATATGAGCCATCCTTGACTTGCCATTTCCTCGACAAATTGGCGAAATATGGGAACCGCTACTGAATGAAATATTCATATATATTTGTCCATTGCTGCTTAATGGTTGCAATTTTCAGGATTTGTCTTAACGAATACCTGGGGTTGCATTACTGGGAACATGTGCCTTGAAATACTGCAGAAGCGTTTCCATGTTTGTGGGACTAATTTACACAATGTCGCAAGCCAACTGTTAATCCGCAGCATCTTCTATACAGTGCCCACTTTGAAGGGAAGAATACTGCAGAAAGTTCTGGCAAGTGAAGGGTCAACAATACCCCCAAGGTGGCATACATCTGGCTTATCTGAGGTGCTTCCTGACTTGCCATTTCCTCAACACACTGGTGACAACGGAAACCGCTACTGACTCAAAAGGCTACGTCTGAGATAAAATGTCACACTGTTTCATTTGTTATATCACTGGCATGAATTTAAGGCGAGCCGCACTTGGGTAAGTATAAAGTAAGAGGGAGGGGAGAGAGGACGGAGGAGAGGAGACAAGAGGGGTGCTCAGTCTTTCTGCTGCATTATTGAGGATGAGTGTTGGGTTCACTGAGGCATGTCGGCATTCTGAATCATTTACATCCTGCTAATGTCAGCTCTCATCTAGTGCTGCTACCTTCTGCATCCTTTCTTCATTTTTTCTATGGAGTCTCCACCTCCCCATTTTTACATCTCCCTGGGACTATCCTCAATTATTGTAGGAGTAAATGGTTCACTTCCAATGCTATTCAGAAAGACTATTCTGGTTAGACCTGAACCAGATGGAAGCGGATAAACAGGAGATCACAGGAGATCACACTGGACTTTGACAAGATCACATTGGGCTGAGACTCTTTTTCATCAACCAACTTCAGCAAGATCTTGGGGCCTTAAGATTGCATCAGGAATCTTTTTCAGACATACGCAAGTATCAAACTTAGTCGATTTAATTGATGCATTAAGTATCAGTTACACCTTTTTACAAGGTTTGTTTGAACTAAGAATCTGACGTTTTCCCTCAGGTTTTAGATCTGCTGAATATGCAAAATGGTTCCATAAATGTCATTCCTTATGTCTCTTTCTTTAGTGCTAAACTTTAACCCTTTCCTATACCAACTGTATGTGTGTGTGTGTGTATGTTTATGTTAGACCGGCTTAATGTGTTTGTGTAGTATGTTAGACTAGTTTAAGTTTTTATGTAGTTAATAAAACCTTACTTGTATCACACTTGATGTGTTCATTGTTTACTCATAACCGGAGTCAATAATCATGCAGATTTACGTTACAAACTTATAGAATTGTACAGTAAGAAAGTTATTTCCTTTAACCAGGAAATTAACGTTCTTAGAATTGACAAGACGGTTGACCCTGAGTGGTCAGCTAAATATCTACAGTGGATCTAAAATATTAATAATTAATCATAATTAGTTATGGTTAATTATTCATATTTCCCCATGAGCTGATTCGCTACAACACTGTACAATAAAAGAAGAAAATCATGAAATGTCTCTGCATCAGTCTAAACAGTCCTTTATTTTAAACAAACCTGTACTATTGAATAGCTTGGGGTCTTTTTCCACACGAACACAACAAAAGTGACAACCACATGTTTGATACTCTTTAGAATAAAAGCACAATCAGTATCACCTATCACCTGACCTCATCTGTAAACCTACACATCAGGTGCTTTCAGAAAACAAGCACGCCTGAGGCTGTGAAGAATGACAAAGAGGGAGAGAGAGACGCTTACCTCTTCGGCTGTCCATGACGTACGTCTCAATAATGGCACTCTTTTTACAGATGTCATCGGCCATTGAAGAGCAGCTGACCTCCAAGTGTTTCACCTGAACAGAGAGCACAAAGATAAGATCTGCAATAAACTGCCACACGCAACAACCACACGAAAGTGTGATAAACTGATACGGAAGCACACAGGTGTGGACACTGTGATCACTGCCAATGTGATTGGTTTTATCTTTAGAAAAGGCTCTTTAAATTCATTCATTTTAGTCGATTTTGCTATAAATTAATATCACAATAATGTTAGTCTATTTAATTTGACTGAAAAGACATTATTTCAGCTATGTAAATTATCTTTACGATAATGTGAAAAAAAAGTCTTGTCTGCTTATCAAGGCTGCATTTATTTGATCAAAAGTACAGTAAAAATAGTAATATTCTGAAATATTATTACAATTTAAAATAACTGTTTTTTATTGGAATACATTTAAAATGTAATTTATTCCTGTGATGTCAAAGCTGAATTTTCAGCATCATTAATCCAGTCTTCAGTGTCACATGATCCTTCAGAAATCATTCTAACATGCTGATTTGCTGTGTAATAATTTTTTTTTTTTTTTTTTTTTTGATAAATGGTGAAAACTTTTTTGGGGAATTTTTGATTAATAGAAATTTTAAAAGAACAGCATTTATTTGAAAATTTTCTAAAAGTTTTTACTGTCACTTTTACCCAATTTAATTTATCCTTGATGAATAAAAGTATTAATTTCTTTGGGGAAAAAAAAGTATTGACTATCTCCAAACTTCAATGGTAGCGTATATGTATATAAAAAAAGAAATAAATAAAAGATTAACTATATACATAGATAATATAAAAATTTTAATTAATATAATTTAAATGTAATTTAATTTTAAGAATTTGTTTAATTATTTCCTGGTTAAATAAAGGTTAAATAAAAAATAAATTTAAACATGCATCAAACATCAATTTAAACAAATGTATAAACTATTTTATATTTAATCTTAAATTCACAAATGAAAAAATAAAATTTCTAAAATACATTTTATGAAATCCAGATGATTTATGAAACAGCATATGAGTGGCACTGACATGTTTGAGTTTACAGTAATATATCTCTTTGAAGCAGAAAGGGTGATGTAACTTGTCAAAGCCCTAACTACATATTTCCATTCCAATAGTTACTAACCAAGACCGATAAAAATGTGGAAACATCAATATCTGCATGCATATTTCATGATCCAAAGACACAATTCAGCACTTACAGCCCCCTATGGAGCACACAGCAGAACTGGCCGGGTGAAGGTTTGGTGCAGTACTGCAAACCTGGGCTGTTCCACGAGAGTTCAACTTTTCCTAGTAACATGAGACTACAATGAAGGTTAAAACGTCATACCTTCTCCTCCAGCATCCACTTCTCCTGCTGAACCTCGGCGAGCCTCTGGAAGAGCTCACTGACCTCGTCGTCCGAAAGGTCCGCAGGACGCTGGGACTGAGGGCTGCTGGTGTTGGACTGTGGAAAGAGAAATAAAACTTCACTGAAACATCTTTTTTTACTTAAAAATATGCTGACAAAACCAGCTTAGACCAGTATGAATGTTTTAGCAATGGGATTAAATAGACAAAGTCATCAGCGTTGTTACTGTTAACTAAAACTATTAAAATTTATTTTGGATAATTGAAATAAAGTTAAAATAAAATATTAAGACAAACGAAAATTAGAAATGTGCCTTGACAACTAATTGAAACTAATTTATGTTCAAGTTCTAAAGCTAAAAATAGTACTAAAGAACCAAAAGTGCAGTACTGTCGTACTAACCTTACTAAAAACAAACACTGAAATATAAATAAATTAAAGCTAAATAGAAATAACAAAAAAATTATGACAAAAGCACATAACTAAAACGGAAAATAACAAACTGAAAATATTAAAACACCTACAATGTGATTTTCTGGATTTTTTTTTCTCATTTTGTCTCTCGTAGTTGAGGTATACCTATGATGAAAATTACAGGCCTCTCTCATCTTTTTAAGTGGGAGAACTTGCACAATTGGTGGCTGACTAAATACTTTTTTGCCCCACTGTACTTCAAAATAGTAATAAATACTATAACAGCATAGAAGTAATACTAAAATAACACTGAAGGTCATGTAGGTTTAGAACAAGATGCGGGTACTTTCTTTTTTTTTTTTTTTAAATAAGTTTTGTGTGATCTATCCCTTTGAAACTTCTGTCATTTAACACAGTGTCATTCAACGTCACATGAAAGTCACAGGAAGGAATTCCATCAGCCTTGTACATGTGGTGGTCCTATTCTGTCCCTTAGTTTGTTTCAGGGCGTTTCAAGGAGCTGGAAACGATGCAATCAAATGACAGTCGACTCGTCCCAGAGACTCTCGCCGTCCCCTGTGTACACTATTTTCGTCCCATGAGTCTCATTTTCGCTCTGGCTTAAAAAAATGAAGTTCCCTTACTGAAGGTTGATGACGATTCTCCTTAAACATATGCCTGATATGCATTATGTTTCAAATTGATGGCATAAAATGGGAGTCTGTGCTTTGATAAATGCATTTGAAAGTCAACTAGATGATTTATGATTGAGGCACCATTCATGTCTGTAGCACAAATGTTGAGGGATGAGTTGCATGAAGTTTAAAACTTCCTAGTCTTGGAAAACAGCAATAATTAGTCAAATGTACCTCAAAGTTTGTGTTTTTCTTCACCAAACCACACTCATGTCCCTCAAGATAGTCCAGCATGTCACAACAACCATTATTTTCTACCCTGTTTCTTCACAGGCACAGGATATTTATAGAATTTACACTGTTTATATTAAATTTATTAAAGGCAGGGTGCGAACTATGGGGGAGCTAGGGGGAGCTCGGCTCCCCTTAATAAGACATGGGCTCCCCTGAAAACGTGATTTGTGAAATTTTGGGGGGTCTCAAAAAATATTGACAATGTGTTATTTTGACGTGCAATTTCAGTTTTGTGTAATGTGATCATCGTGGATTATTATGTGTAAAATTGCTAAAATATCATTCATTCATACATGACGCAGATTTAAACCTAATTCACTTCAATAAAGATAACTATACGTGCTATTCTTGTCATGAGCATCAAGGTGTGGGGGCGCTGCAGTGCAAATTCCACTCATGTTTAGTACGTTAACTCAAAGATTCGTAGAAAAAATATAAACGTTGGACTCTGTGGTCGATTCTGTGTTAAGGTAAGGCATGTTATTCGCAATTATGTGTTGTGGCTGGGTTGTTATAGGTCTGCGTGACTCTAGATGTCTTAGGCCTAATTGAACGGCAGAATTATGGGATTCTTCTGTAGCCTGACGACGAGTAACTTTAACCGTTGTTCATGTGAACTCAAAGACAGCCTGATGCTTTGTTTATAGACTATTTGTGGGTGGCTGTTTGTTGTTTCACCTATCAATTCGTGTCGATAAAGTATAATAGGGTAAATCCTGTATAGTGATTGATCCTATATAGTGCTTGCATAAATCAAGTATTGCATACACTTGTAGCTGTTATGTATCTTTGTAAGTCTCTTTTGAGGCACGCGCAAGCGCACAAACCCCCGCATTCCCTTCAGAAACAATGTATTCCACTGCGAGTTCAGCGGCTCAGATGTCGGTAGTAAATGTAGACTGCTATGTTCATTATTACATCCAACAACAGAACACCTCAATCGCTTAGGAGTCATTCTTGTCTACGTCTGCTCCAGCGGTGAAACAAGAGGACTGACGACAGCTCACTCAGGTAAGACACCAGTCCAGTCTGTGCTGAAACGCTATGGTCAATCAAACCATCGTGGGAGGGGCCTGTCTGTGTGAGGTCACACAGACAGGCATCTGAGATCGGCTCGATTTGAGAAAGGGGAAAACATTTAACCAGATTTTTTAAAAAAACACTGGGTGGATTTTTATCATTATAGGGTGGTTGTGTACACACACTGCCAACACACATTTCAGTTCAAACAACTTGTAAAAGTGCATGTAGAATCCTATGACCCCTTTAAAAGCTTCTGGAGGTCGGAAATGCTCCTGGGAGCCAGAGAAAAGGAAGCGTCAACTGTGGCGACAGTATTTGCAAGGGTCGTTGGCCCGCTCTACCTTATTGGTGCTGGGAGCCGAAGCCCCGTCTTTCATGATCTCTCTATAGCTGAAGGAGGAGATGCTACTGCTGTCACCCGTCTGCTTCCCTTCAAAAAACAAACATAATCCACTGCGTCTTCAGCGGCTCAGATGTCGGGAGTAAACGACAACTGCTATGTTCATTATTACATCCAACAACAGAACACCTCAATCGCTTAGGAGTCATTCTTGTCTACGTCTGCTCCAGCGGTGAAACAAGAGGACTGACGACAGCTCACTCAGGTAAGACACCAGTCCAGTCTGTGCTGAAACGCTATGGTCAATCAAACCATCGTGGGAGGGGCCTGTCTGTGTGAGGTCACACAGACAGGCATCTGAGATCGGCTCGATTTGAGAAAGGGGAAAACATTTAACCAGATTTTTAAAAAAAACACTGGGTGGATTTTTATCATTATAGGGTGGTTGTGTACACACACTGCCAACACACATTTCAGTTCAAACAACTTGTAAAAGTGCATGTAGAATCCTATGACCCCTTTAAAAGCTTCTGGAGGTCGGAAATGCTCCTGGGAGCCAGAGAAAAGGAAGCGTCAACTGTGGCGACAGTATTTGCAAGGGTCGTTGGCCCGCTCTACCTTATTGGTGCTGGGAGCCGAAGCCCCGTCTTTCATGATCTCTCTATAGCTGAAGGAGGAGATGCTACTGCTGTCACCCGTCTGCTGCGTACGGCTCGGCGAACTGATCTCAGATAACACCAGCTCCTCCAGACCTGTAAATATATACATGACCCAAAAAGAGGAATATTTTAAGAGCATAAATCACTAAGCGCTGTAGGTGAGCTAGAAAATGGCAATGGGTTAGATTGTGCATATTTCCTGCAGCAGCTCACTCAACATACTTTTTTATGTGTCAGAAACATTTACAACATCAAAGTATATTAATATGAATGCTATTGCCTCATTTTCTATCTTGTTTGAAAATATACTGAAATATACTGTCCAGTCCTAGATACTATAAAATAGCAGTTTCCAGAAACCGGTAACCACTATTTTGATCAACAACTAGTTACTGCAAGGCAACTATTAGTAGGCCAAAATAATAATACAAATGCATTTGCAATCTACAGAGAGTACGTAGGTCAACAAACAAGGAATCACTACTGAGTAATCTATACTAGAGCTAAGCATGCTAACATATTACAGGCTACATAGCAGAACGTCATCCATTAATACCTGCACTCACGGACAGAGAATCTACAAAGTAAACAATTCACAAAAGTTAGACGTTATCCATTTTATTTAGCATTTAATTGTATGGAATACACTAATGTTCAAAAGTTTGGGTTCAGTAAGATTAATACTTTTATTCAGCAAGAACAAATGAAATGGATCACAAGTGACAGCAAAGACATTTATAATTACAAAAAAAAAAATCAAATAAATGCTGTTGATTTTGAATTTTCTATTCTAATGTTTTCTATTCTAATGTATTACTTTCCACAAAAATATTAAGCAGCACTATTTTCAACACTCATAGTAAGAAGAAATGTTTCTTTAGCAGCAAATCAGTATACTAGAACAATTTATTTCATTCATAATGTTACAAAAGATTTTTATTTCAAATAAATGCTGTTCTTTTTAACTTTCTTTTCATTAAATTATCTTGGGGGGAAAAAAGTAAGATGCTTTCCACAGAAATACTAAACAGCACAACTATTTTAAATAAAAAGAAAAGTTTCTTGAGCAACAAATAAGCATATTAGAATTATTTCCAAAAGATCATGTGACTGGAGTGATGATGCTGAAACTTCAGCTTTACCATCACAGGAATAAAATACATTTTAAAATATATTAAAAGAGTAAATAGTTATTTTAAATTGTAATAACATTTCACAATATTACTGTTTTCTTATAATAAAAATGCAGACTTGGTGAGCATAAGGGACTTCTTCTAAAAACATTTTAAAAAATATTACTGTCCTCAAACATTTGAAAATATTTACATATATATATATACATACAGGTGCATCTCAATAAATTAGAATGTCGTGGTTTTTTTTTTGTTTGTTTAATTCGCACAGAGTAAAAAAGTTAGTGAATCCATTTTATAAAGTCATTTTCTGTGACGTCAACGTGCATTGCGAAAAGCACTATACAAATAAAACTGACTTGACGTCATATAATAAAAAGGACAGCTAGAGTCAATGAAAATTGTTTCAAATAGTTAAACCCTTAAAGGTTTTTTTATTATTATTATTCGTACTTGGTCTAAAAAGACAAAAAACAAAACCACTTTATAAAGACATTTTCTGTGACGTCAATGTGTATTGAGAAAATCATTATACAAAATAGTTAAACCCTTAAAGGTTTTTTTATTATTATTATTCGTACTTGGTCTAAAAAGACAAAAAACAAAACCACTTTATAAAGACATTTTCTGTGACGTCAATGTGTATTGTGAAAATCATTATACAAATAAAATTGACTTGACATCATATAAACAGTCGAAGGGCAGCTAAAGTCAATTAAAAATGTGTTCACAACCTGTATTTAATGTAGGGCTGCACGATAAATCGCATGTGATATTTATCGCGCATCTTGCCGTTGTTCACCGACAAGCTGCGCAAAATATGATCGTGGTTTTGCACAGTGTGAGCACATGTGACGACCCCGGGCTTCATCCACGGTGAAAGCCGATCCGGCGATCCACAGCACTAAGTTGATGTATTCCCTCAGCGACCAGCACGGATCAGCTCTAGGCATGACGAAGCGGATATCGTCCTCTTTTGGAAGACCAAACAAAGTAGTTTCGCTTTCACAACGAAACACAGCGTCTTCAGGACATGGCGGAAAGCGGCAACAATACTACAGCGAGAATAAAAGTTACGCCTTTTTTCTTTGCGTGAACATTTGGGCGGCGTTATGCAAATCTTCCCACATAGTGAGGTAGATATGTGGGGGCGTGTTAGAACGAGCCGTTTTAGGTAGGTGTGGCTGACTCTTAACTTTTATAAAGAATATCTCTTTGGATTTGAGACTTTAGTCTTTGCAACTTTACAGATCTTCTTTATGCACCCCCAGCTTGTAACACTCCAAAAAAGAAAGGAAAAATTGAAATCGCATCATATGACCCCTTTAATGTAATTTGCCTTCTTGCAAAAACTATTTATAGCCAATGAGCCGAACGCTGGAAAGTGAACTGCTCAACATCCCACAGGAACCTGATGCAAGAACAAAGCGCATGGGCTGTTTGGAATTCTCTTTAGGTGGTAAGAACATGCTTTGGGTTTGTCTCATTTGTAGCAGTTTGCAGTCGGGGTGGAGCCTTCTTCATCTGCTGCCTTATTTATGCTCAGCGCCACATATTTACTTACCTGCTTTAAATTTTTCATTCATGCCGCCCATGTGTGATGAAATGGCGAACGCAGAGCCAATCGCAGTTTAAATCACCTGAGAGGGCACTGACAGCTCTAAAAAGCCCTATTCCATGTACTTACAAATGCTTTATATGATGATGGAGGGGTATGTCTCAAAATCTTAAGTATAACATGTAAGGAAGAAAGTGTTCACCTGTACGGGTCTTAGTGTTGGTTAGGATTTCCTGCAGCCGCTCCTGGAGTTTATCGGCTCTTTTTCTCTCCAAATGGAGCTGCCTCTTCAAGTCTTTCAGCTGCAGACATAACATGACAGCCATTATTTGGACATCTGATGGACATTTAGTTTGATGGACATTTAGCAGACTATAAACCAGTATAGTATTTGGACACTTAAGCCACACTTAAAGTGATAGTCCACCCAAAAATGAAAAGTCATCATTTACTCCCCTCAAGTTGTTTCTAACCTGTATGAATTTCTTTCTTCTGCTGAACGCAAGATATTTTGAAGAATATGGGTAACCAAACAGTTGATGGTCCCTACTGACTTCCATAATATGGAAAAAGCTACTATGGAGGTCAATGGGGACCATCAAGTGTTTGGTTACCCATATTCTTCAAAATATCTCATACAGAAACTCATACAGGTTTGGAACTGTGCCTGGAGGGTGAGTAAATGATGGCAGAAGTTTTATTTTTGTGTGAACTATCCCTTTAAAAAATAAATAAATGTCTAAATATCATTACATAAAATCGCAAACCAAAATATATATATATATATATATATATATATATACACCGACAACATCAACTAAATATCCCATCCTCCAATTTTGCAGCAGTAGCACTACAAAATCCTTTTGTTTTTGTCGGAAGGAGAAAAAGAGGGGAAGATATATGAAATTTCATCCATTTTGTGGCCAAAATCACTTCAAGTAGGAAGGAACTTCCCAGAGGGACTGCATTTGTAACCTAATAAACAGTGTGCCTAATAAACAATGCCACAGAAAAGCTATAACCAAAACTTTATTGAGCTAAAAGTATGGACAGCTTCTGGAGCTGGAAACACACACAAACAGAGACGATCAATGAACTGTCAAACGAGATTCTATTGATGAAACGGCTAGAGCGTTAATGAACGCTGATCGACCCTCGTCAATAGGAGGTCTGGTTTCAGGTCTGTAGGGCAGAGAGGTGTCCTGCCCATCGCCTGGGACTATTTTAATTCACTTTCTGGGAAATGGAGAGAGGGAAAGCCCTGACTCATCCCTTTCTCCTGGCTGGATTGCCTACTTACCGCTGAACTACCTTTTTTCTCCAGGATTCTCTGTCCATCCACTGTATCTTTAATCTCCTGAAATACACACACAAAGGTCATTACAGTTTATCAAATCCATCTTTATTTTAAAACTACTGTCAAATGATTATTTTCAAATAACTTTTCAGTTTAGTTTGAAATGTTTCCCTAAGCTACAGTTTAGTCTCTTTCATTTTTATATATTTTAGACAATAAAAAGACAGCACAACTGAAGTACCATATAAAACAAGAAAGGGCATTTAAATGCATTTACAGAGGAACTTCTATTGCAGAAATAATGTTATGCAATTCATGTTTTCAATATTTCATATTCATCTTATTATTATTGTATTAACTATTTTAGTTAATATTTATTATTTATGAATATACACTACCACTCAAAAGTTTAGGTTCAATAAGATTTTTAAATGTTTTTGAGTCTCAAGGCTGCATTTAATTAAAAAATACATTCAAAACTGTAATATTGTGAAAATGTATTACAATTTAAAATAACAAATTTCCATTTTAATATATATATATATATATATTAAAATGTAATTTACACGCAAAGCTGCATTTTCAGCATCATTACTCCAGTCTTCAGAGTCACATGTTCCTTCAGAAATCATTCTAATATGCTGATTTGCTGCTCAAGAATCATTTCTTATTATTGAAAATAGTTGTGCTGCTTAATAATCATGATGCATTTTTCCAAGATTATTTGATGAATTAAAAGTTTAAAAGATAAGCATTTATTTGAAATAGAAATCTTTTGTAAAATTATTAAAATCTTTTTTATCAATTTAATGCATCCTTGCTGAACAAAAGTAGTAATTTCTTTAAAAAAAAAACATTTTAAATCTTACTGACCCACAAAAAGTGGAGTAGTGTATGATGTAGTGTCTGCTGCTTTAAATCTTAGTATTAGTATACAATAAGAACCATCACACAAGAAACATCAGAACAAAGGTAAGCCCTAATAAACCATTCTAAGATCAGACCAGGAAACACCAATTTTGCAGCTCTGAAAACTGAACATCCCCCAGGAGCTGCTGGCAGCAGATGCTCACACAAAGAACAATGTCATCCTAATGCTGCATCGTTCTTGAGTCACATTTGAAATTACTGGTGAGCTCCAGTGATCACACCCCCACAATATCCTCCATCTGAGTCGTGACTTATTTAGCATCTTAAAAACACATAGTTCTCATCACGCTGAAGAACAAAAGCTCCAGCAGAGCCACTAGGAGACCAGTAGAGCGCTACAAATGAATACATTCTGTTCACACACCTGTTTGAGTTTGCTGATTGTGTTGTTGAGTTCTTCTCTCTCTTTCTGCATCTCCATCACTTGCTGTTTGACTGTCTCCACCTCTGCAGCTTTAGCCTGAGAAACAGCAGGAATGTGTGTTCATTTATTAAAAACGGATAAGTTCTGGACAGAACTGATTATTTATTAATTTGTTTAATACACAGATTTGTCAGACTTGAAAAGTAGGATATGATATTTGATTAAATTACAAAGAACATGCTAAAATACAGTAAAATAAGCAAGTAATAAGTTTAAATATTTTCATTTGTGTATGTGTGTGTGTGTGTGTGCGCGCACATATTCTGTGTTTTGTTAAACTAAAACTAAAAGATATCTATCAGCATAAAAGAAAAGTTAGAAAATAAATTCTGTTTTCAATCTTGCATCAAAACAACTTCCTCTGCTTCTGAAATAAATTTTCTTTTGTGCTGACATAACCAAGGCTGTGCAGGCATGGTAAAAAATAATATTAAACGGTATGATCTAATCAAATCAGTCAAGTCATGCCAGAGATGGACTGGCCATAGGACTTTATTGGTGTTTCAGTTCAGTAGAATCATAAATTAAATGCAATCAAATGTACTCCAGCTACGTTATTAAAAACAAAAGTAATTACATGAGATTTAACCTTGGGTTTCCATGACCTCATTGAGAAATTCTTAACTTTTGAGCACCTACAGACATGTTCCATGCATTTCATACTGTCTTTTAAGCTCATTAAGTAAAATTCTGTCAAGCCATCATCCATCAACTCGGTGAGACGTGACCGAATTCTGATGTGTTTCTGAGACTTGAATATTTATGAAGACAACAAATGTGTCATAAAGACAAGATCTGCTAAATATAGCTTTACCGCTCATTACTTCATCTGCTTTCGCTTACTGTACTCCATTAAGTGCTGTCAAACACCAAATGTGTTTTTATGATCACGTCCAAAAAAGTTTACCTCCAGCTGAAGTGTGAGATCTTTCTGTACCCGCTGGATCTCTTCTGCATGGTCCAGTTTGTTCTTTTCCATGCTCTCCTGTTCACAACACAAACAAATGACACCAATATCAAGTATAAATCACCCAGACATCCAAGGATGAATGCAATATTTTGTTAGTTTGAAACATAAACGTGAAGCTAGTAAAATGCTCTTCTTTTTACCATTTAACAGTTTTAAAGTCTATAACTTTGAAGTTTGAAATCTGTATTTTACTTTTATATTTCAAACTTTAAAACTACAGACTATAAAACTGTCAAATGGTGAAAAGAAGAGAATTTTAGTGGATTTACAGTACGTTAATGATTCAATTTATTTTATATTTTACATTTATAAGAAATTGAAATATAACAATAAATCCACTGTAAATGCTCTTTACCATTTGGCATTTTAAAGCCTGCAACACAGTAATGAAAAAACAACACTGACATCATGTGGTCGGAATGATACTGATGTAGCCAGATGTAAACAACAAAAGACAGTTTCCATCTCTGCCAGTGCTTTGCAGCAAGAGATGATTGTGAACACACGGCACCTCTGCTTCCTTGAGCCTGCGCTCAAACCAGCCCTTTGTCCCCTCCATAGACTGAACCTGAGCTTTCAACTCCTCCACATACGGCTGAAGACCCTCCAGCTCTTTGGTACGAGCCTGAAAAAAAAAAGAAACAGTTGTAAATAGGTTAAGTGCTTTGTTGAATGTTCGTGTCTCAACCAACAAGCTTTCAGTTAGCGGCTCACAAAGGTTCCTTACTCTCTCGTCTCGTAGCTGTGAGCGGATCTCCTCTTCCGTGCGGTTCTTCTCCTCATGGAGGCCGCGGAGCTCCTTCTCATAGCGGGCCCTGATGCTCAGCACTTCCTTTTCATGCTGCAAGCGCACATCGCTGAGTTCCTCTTTGTGCCGTGACTTCTCCTGCGCCGTCTCAATGGCCAGTTCATCCAGCATAACCTTACGCTTATCCGCAGTCTGAGAAAGTAAAGACAGCGTTCACTTTCTTCTTATCAGTGTGGTATTTCGTTTTAAATAAAATGTGGCAATATCAAAGCTCCAGTCATTGTCAAGACTGTATCGCACATATTTTTCTTGATTTTTTCTTCTTTTGAACAACTGTTATTTAAATGACAGGTATTTAGATGAACAGAAATCTCCATAATTGAATTTATATAGCAAAGAATGCCATAGACAAACTTTTTATATATTGTGATATTATTTTCAAGATTAAGCTAATTTTAATTGTCACTACTGTAATGTGGAGAATTTTTTTTAACCCTAAAATATTTTCATTTATATTATAATTTTGTGCTGAATTTGATGCAGATTTAAAATGTATAAAAAGTGTGTTATATCAGGATGATCTACATTGCTGTAGCAAAAACAGCCTGTTTAATTCAAAGTGTCAGAACGACGGTGGAAAATGGTCATTTAAAACTGTAAAAATTGGTGTTGGTGCAAGAAACATTGACTAACATCACGGGAAGAAAAAGAGAATTTTTTTTAACCCTAAAATATTTTCATTTATATTATAATTTTGTGCTGAATTTGATGCAGATTTAAAATGTATAAAAAGTGTGTTATATCAGGATGATCTACATTGCTGTAGCAAAAACAGCCTGTTTAATTCAAAGTGTCAGAACGACGGTGGAAAATGGTCATTTAAAACTGTAAAAATTGGTGTTGGTGCAACATTGACTAACATCACTAGAGGGAAGAAAAAAATAATAAAACTTGTACGAAAGAAATCCAAAGGTGAATCTTACGGAGCTCATTTGTGTCTAAATCCGATTGCGGCTTTTACATTAATAAAGTCATTATGATGGTCAAAAGATCAGAGCATTAACTGATGGAAGAATGAGCAGCGTGAACGGACTCACTAAAGAAGCTTAAATGAAGACAGAGATAGTGAGTGCACCAAACGTCAAACTACTTTCACCTGCTGCAGTGGGAATTGACTGAATTGTGAAAGGATCAGAAGGTTTGTGTGTCGTCACCTTTCTGGCCTCCTCTAACTCCTGCTGTAGCTTGTCCTTCTCCAGACCCAGTTCAGTGAGCTGCTCCAGTAGTCGACTATTCGCTCGGTTTGACTCCTGATCAGCAACAAGTCGTCAAAATAATTTTTATGATCGATCTGATTACTAATTCTAAAATATGTATTACTTAGCTATAATAAAAACATTAAAAATACTTTTGTAACTGCTGAAGTAATACAAGTATTGAAGTAATTGTTTTTTTGCTTTTCAATAAAAAAAACATTTAAAAGGCTTTAAAAACAACAACAAAAAAATGTTTATAGTTTTTTTCATCAGAATGGATTTTATCAAAAACAGACTTTTCAGCTGGTGGGCATAAAAAAAAAAAAAAATACTGACTAATAAAATTATAGTATAATATGATTCCTATGTCACACTGGATAAAGCATTTTATTTAGAAATAGCAAAAAGTTGAATATGTTCCGAATGCTTTTCAGTTTTGTTTTCAAAGTTAACAAGTGCCAAAATACCTGTAGCTGTGAGTTGAGATCATCTCTCTGCGCCAGGAAGCTCTCCTGTTCTGTACGTTTCTGCTGAAGCTCTGCGTTTAGCATCAGATTTTGCTCTCTCAGCAAATTCTGTTCCTGAGTCTTCACTGTTTGGATCTGCAAAAAAACATACACTGAGTTTCAGATAAATCCCAGAGAACCCCGGACAACTGAAATAAGTCTTATTCAGTCTGAATTTGGTGTATATGCAAGAAAATGCCAACAGAACACAAAAGAAGAATTCGTAAGGTGCAGAAAACACTACACAACAGCTGAGAAATGCAATATCAACATAAATGTACCCATGAGTGCTTTCAAGCTAAATATAAACTTTTATACATGATGCAACACATATTTATGTATGAATGTATGTGTGAACATACATACACACAAAAACTATGGCTAAACAAAAACATACATGGACAAACATATTAAAAACAGGCACTTTTTAAAACTTCAGTAAGGGTTAAAGTGCTGTAGGCGCTAAATGACCTTTATGCACCCTTGCAGTGTTCTTAAAATCTGATTTTGTCTCTTATTTAATCCATATATATATATATATATATAAATACAGTATATATTAATATTTAGGTATTGCTCACAAAGGATAATGGGTGTGATTCCCAAGAAGTGCACATACTAATGTAAATGTATACCTTAATGCATTTTAAGTCACTCTGGAATGAATAAACAATGATTTTGGCTGGTGAGCAATAAACAAAGTATTTAAATATGCCGTTTTGAATTTCAGTTTGAAGTTATCACACAGCCGTACTTGCATTAAAGACACCAATCACAATGCGATTAGAAAATCACACAAAACCAGATTTTTAAAACAAAACAATGTAACTTTAGGAACCTCCATGAATTTCCTTTTAGATATTGACATTTTTTCAAAGAAGAAAGTACAAATTGGCGTGAACTGAGAGTGCATTGTTAATTCCTTCAGTTTTTAGTAGTAATATAGGTAATGGCGATAAAGTTGATAAAAGTGACATTAGTATGCGTGTATTAACAGTTAATGGTACAAAGATCATGTGTGTTAGACCAGACAGTCATTCGAGTGAAGATGATGCTGGAACTGGGGTTGATGAAGGTCGTGAGGCTGTATCATGGTCAAGTACCTGTTCTAGGGCTGCTAGATTTGTCCTGAGAGCATCGTTCTCGCTCAGCATGCCCTCCACCTGCTCCTGACTGACCGCACTCTGACACGCTACCTGCAGCTCCGCCCAAACACAAAACCACCCCACAAGACCAGGAGACAGAGACAGAGAGAGAAAGCAAGACAAAAAAGAAAAAAGCAACACCAAATGAAAGATTGAAATAAAAGAGCAATAGAATAAAGTACAATGAGTGAATAGAAGAACAAAAAAGAAAATGAATGAATGAATGAAATAAAAAGAATAAAATATGAAAAATATGAAAATGTTGAATATATATGTGTGTGTGTAAATTAGACAAAAACATGAAAAAATTACAAATGAAAGAACAAGTGAACAAACAAGGGAATTAACAAAAAAACATTACATTTTTATTTTTATTTTTTTTAAAGAATGAAAAACAAAACAACGAAAAGGGGAAAATTATGAACATTTTGAAAAGAAAAATGTATAAAATAAAATAAAGGAAAAAAATACAGAACAGAAAAAAGCAAAAAGAACAACAAACAACAAAACCATGAAAAAATAACAAAAGAAAATAAATAAAGAACAATCGAGGAAGTGGATAATAAAGAAAAATGCAACAAAAAATGAAATAAAGAACAAAGAAAATGGGGGGGGGGATTAATTAAATAAAAATAATAAAATGTTCAAAATATTAACATTTTGAAGAAAAAAAAAGAAAATATGAAAGAAAAAATACAGATAAGCAAAAAGGATATAAAGAAGGGAACATGTACAGAGAAAGGAGGAGATTAGATTGATGAATAAAGCGGCAGCGTGGGATTGTAGGGGAAGATGAACACAAGAAGAATAAAGCCCAAGGGGTGAACAAGAGCAAGAGATGATAAAGAAAGAACGCCCAAAACAAGTGAAAAGAAGAGAGAAGAAAACAGGCTGAGTTAGAGAATCCAAATCAAACAGAAGAGACCCAATCAAGCAATTCTGAAAGGAAAAACAGAACAGGGACGTTCTTCATCCTTATCTGCTTGCTGTTCATTAGAGGCAGCTGCTTAATTAAGATTTGTCACCTCATGGAGGAAGTGAAAGACATTTGTGTTGGCAGGACCTGCAGTAGGGCCGACGGCAGTACAAGAGCAGCCCTTTCCTCAGGGGCCCTGGCGGAGCGCGTGTGCCCCTAAGCCACCTGCAGTGAGCCCCACTAATCCTTAATTACTCAGCTGATCCTGAGCACCATCATCCATAAACACTCAATTAAACAGGCTGCTCTCTGGGTAATTATAAACTTCACAAACTTCTCCTTAAGCACAACGAGTTTGCTATCAGCAGAAAGACTGCGGTGTCTTCCTGTTCATATTAAAGGGATAGTTAATACTATATACTCACCCTCATGTTGCTCCAAACCTGCTTGACTTAGTTTAAGAAACTTTCTTAAAACAAAAAAACACTTTGAAGAATGTTTATGCTTCAGTACAATGAAAGTGACGCTCCAAAAATGCAAATATTTTAAGTTCTGAATTCATAATTAAATTATAATTAATAACTTTAAGTCATGTTTTGTTAAAAACAAGGCTGCAATAAATATATTGCCATTCATGAATATTAAAATGCGGTGCCCTGCAAGATTGAAGTAGTTCAAAACAAAAAGTAATGTGTGAATATGCAAAAATGAGGAAGATTATCAAGGAATAACAATTTGACCACATGAAATTCAGTCGGTTTCTCTCACAAAGTTATCATACGACTCCAGGAGATTTGGAATATAGTGCAAAAGTCATACGAAATAGATTTATGATGCTGTTTTGTCATTTTTGGAGCTCAATAACATCTGTCCCCATTCACTTTTACTGTATCGAGAAAAACACGAAGGACATACTTCTCCTGTCGAGTTCCACAAAAGAAAGAAAGTCAGGTTTGGAATAAAATGATTGTGAGACATTCAACTTTAAGAACGTAAAACGCTTTCTAAGCAAAGCTAAACTACATTTTAAAACAAAGCTGAAAACCAAAACAACTAAATAATCATAAAACTGCATCCTGCCATTTAAAAAAAAAACTCAAATTTTCATTATTTGATTTTTTTATAATGAACAATAAAAACGTAATTGAGTTCCACGCTAACAACGACACCCACATGAGCCTTTTACGGTTTATTTAATTGAATCTGTAGGACCTATTATCATTAAAATCACACTCAATTTATGCAGATTAATTGCCTGCTTTCTTTCATTTATAAACCTGTTAGTAAACGGCAAACCAGCAGATGCGGAGATTGCAGATTAATTCTCTGGAGATGCACTAACGACCATCTGTGACAGAATAAACATTAAAAGAAATGCTAAATGAACATTTTAACCAACTATTCATCTTCTGTATTCTTCCTATTAGTACCTTTGACGATGTTTGGAATGGAACACTAGCATAATCTGCAGTATGTACTGTATACTGCACTGTATACTATGCAGTATGCAAGATTAAAACATTTCAAATGTGGTTCCATGACCACACTAATTTGTTTAATTCAGTAACTGGCGTCCAGTAGTCATCTCAGAAATTAATATTTCACATTTTTAACCAATCTTGTGCACTACCTGATCTTTGAGCGCATGGATGGCCATCTCATGCTCTTTCTGTTTACTCTGCAACTGCTCCTTCAGTTCAGCGACGTTCTGAAATCACACACACAAACCAACAGGCAGGAAGATTCAATGCATTTCTAGTATGACAGTGATGGATGCAGCAGTGTGTCTACGGTCCATTAATCTCTGCAGATGTGCCTCAGTGCCAGAGTCTGATCCTGAAGCACTGACTGCAGTCTTTAGCCCACTCTCAAGGGTTTGCAAATGTTTATCATCATACTCCCTTAGTGGCCATCCATCGATCGCCCTCTGAGATGTGCAACAAATGAGCTTTAATATTGGGGAATTTGGCAGGGTGGGCCTGAGCGGATCTCACCTGATTGGCTGCCATTAAATCTGTCTGCAATTTCTGCACACGAATATTTATGGATTTGAGCTCCTCCTCTTTCCTCTGTTGGATCTCATCGATTTTAGTCCTGTGGAAACAAATGCATCATATGCTATGAGGGGTTTGATGTGACTAATGTGTGGTAGGGTCTATTCCCAGGCATCACAAAATTAATACCTAAATAAAACGGCAAATTCAGCAGGAAAAACATTACAGGTGAGTGTAAATGACATCATGGGAACAGATTTAATATAGAGTTTAGTTCCAGAAGTAAAAATCAGAGCTAAATAATTGTTTAGCATTTAAGATAAACTAATTGTGAGCCATACATAATGTTTCTACAGAAGCCATAAGAGTGATTTCGAATTCTTTTTTTATTGAAGTTTTCCTCTTTCCTCTGTTGGATCTCATCGATTTTAGTCCTGTGGAAACAAATGCATCATATGCTATGAGGGGTTTGATGTGACTAATGTGTGGTAGGGTCTATTCCCAGGCATCACAAAATTAATACCTAAATAAAACGGCAAATTCAGCAGGAAAAACATTACAGGTGAGTGTATATGACATCATGGGAACAGATTTAATATAGAGTTTAGTTCCAGAAGTAAAAATCAGAGCTAAACAATCTTCATTGGAACAGATTTGAATTATCTCATTTGCTCACCAATGGTTCCTCTACATTGAATGGGTGTTGTTATTTTTAAGTTAAAACGTATTATTGCTGGATTTGTTACTTATAAACACTCAGATTTTCAGAGCTAAATAATTGTTTAGCATTTAAGATAAACTAATTGTGAGCCATACATAATGTTTCTACAGAAGCCATAAGAGTGATTTCGAATTCTTTTTTTATTGAAGTTTCTTAAAGGAATAGTTCACCCAAAAATGAAAATTTGCTGAAAATATACTCCCCCTAAGGCCATCCACGATATAGATCTTCATTGGAACAGATTTGAATTATCTCATTTGCTCACCAATGGTTCCTCTACATTGAATGGGTGTTGTTATTTTTAAGTTAAAACGTATTATTGCTGGATTTGTTACTTATAAACACTCAGATTTTCAGTTCACAAGACATTCATTGATGGACTGGAGTGGTGTGGATTACTTGTGGATTATTGTGACGTTTTTATCAGCTGTTTGGACTCTCATTCCGATGGCACCCATTCATTGCAGAGGATCCATTGGTGAGCAAACGATGTATTGCTAAATTTCTTTAAATCTCTACCAATGAAGAAACAAACTCATCTACATCTTGGATGACCAAAGGGTGAGGATAGGTATTTTTGGGTGGACTACTCCTTTAACGGATACAAATATGTATGATCCGTTCTGAGAGTGTAGAAAGAGTCAGACTTACATTTATTTTGCAGACGCTTTAATCCAAAGCAGATCAGTTTAAATTCAAGTGGGATTGTAGCAAATTGCCACTAAAATTGACAACATTCAGATGTATAATACACTCGTCAATTTAGTGCCCTAAATTCAGAAGTACACCATCAGCAGTCCTGATTCGAAATTCACCAATCAGATTCATGGGTGAGTATTTTGTTCTTGCATAACCGACAGAGTATCTTAAACTTTTTTTTTTTTTTATTTCGAAAGAAATATTAAATAATGCAACTCATCTTTAGGTTCAAGCCTTATACTGTAACTCTTCACTGAGAAAATAAATGGCAAATGCATTTCCAGAACCCAGCCTCCTAAAAAGTCCCTGTTGAGCTTTATCGCAAAGTAACTGCTCTGCTGGGTTTGCCTTTCTCACCTGCTGTCATTGTAAAGTGCTTCTTTCTCAACTTGTAGCCGCTGGAAGCTGTAAGAGAAGCATAAAGAGACTTGAATCCTCATTGGCCCTAAAAAAACCCATACAGCAGTGATAAATAACAGGCAGCATCTCCTGATCAGGGAAAGCAGGCCCCATGTTGACAAGAGGGATGCGGATCGGAGGCAGTCGTGCTGATACAGCAGTCTACAGCCAGTGCCAGCACAACAAGTTCACGTTCAGACTCATTACACTGACACAGAGACTGTCGCTAGGCCTCAGCCGAGTTATCACGGCACCTAGAGTGGAACACTAAGGGGTGATGTAATCACACGGAGAGTTCTGATTGGCTGAGGGCCACTGTACAGAGAAAGAGGACTCGAGTTAAATGGAGGATTGAAAGTCATTTATTTTGTGCTTGAGGAGGTAATGTGTTCAAATGGAATATCTTCCATTAATATTGTCTTTAACTTTCATTCTTCCATATTTCAGCAGGTTTTGCATCAAATCACTCCATCACTGTCTTCCTCAATTAATCACCGCAATTTGTAGTCTTGCGCAGGTTTAAAAGTGCACTCAGTCATTTTGCCCTAAAGTTTTTTTTACCCCTAAAGAAATTAATATTTCTTTTAAAAACTGTGTAAGATGATGCACACTCATATGGCTCACTGAGAATAGCGCATTTCTACCATGGCTTTGCATTTGCTATGTGCATGCCACTAAATCATGTCAACTGTCATGTTGGCCAGCACAACATACACAGCATAAAAAAAAATAAAAAAATGAGTGAGTGCACCTTTAAGAAATGTGAAGCTAAAGTTAAAAAAACACTTCAATAATTGCAGTAAACAGCAACTATCTTCAAGCCTTAAAGAAAAATATTCAAAAGTATCATAGAATGATCCCTTTTGACTTAATTTTCCAAGTGCTGTGAGGGCATACGATAGTGTTGACAAACTAAATCGAACTGAAATTTGAATTATTATTTAGCGAAGTCCTGACCTTGGCCATTGGTCCTCTGTACAAGACTGTGCATTCATGAGACTGTGCATTCATTTTGTTGAGCAAGTCCATTTCAGCTTGCTCAGCAAAAGCCTACAAACGCACCATTTCAAGAAATCAAGGTTAATCAAAATGTGACACACGGTTCCTAGAAAATTATGCAGATAGAGGTGAATATCTCCGTTGTGTTCTGGTTGTTCTCATGAACGCACAGTCGTTCACAGCAGACCAATGGCCAAGCTCAGTATTATGGCTAAATAATAATTTAAACAAAAAATATAATTTTTTCACCAAACCCTACAATACACCTCCAGAATAGGGATGTATCAATTAACCGCGAGCCGGTCGAAAATATGTGACGATTCAAATCGGTTGAGATGCCAAACAAATCGCGATACAATTGGACTAGGAGTTTATATGAATTTATCTCTGAGGGGAACTGACTATCTTTAGAAAAGTTTACGTGGTATTTTCTTTTCATCTTGCCTTTGAACAATGCATATTAAAGTAGTGTTTATAAGCAGCAGTAACCCAGGAAACACTGTATCATTGCTGTTCATAAGCGCCACCTGCTGTCAGAGAGTGAATCTGCTTCTCATTCAGCTCGTCTGCTGTTTTGTTCAAATATATGTTTTATGTAGTATAGTTTCACAAAACTAAATTCAGACCATTCTGTTTTTGCTTCAAATTTCAAAATGATAGTCTAATTTAAATTAAAAACTACTCACGCTGCATGTATGCTGCATCTTTGTTTGGATCATGATTAAAATCCAGTGGTTGCCTCTAATTTTAAATGGAAAGCGCACAGACAAAGCCTTAGTTTCTTCATAGTAAGAGATTTCTTTTATTTGTGTAACTTGTTTGATTTGGGGTTTGTTTTCAAATTTCAATTTAGTTTTGTTATATTTCAATTTCACAAAGAAACGTGCAGCAATAGCCTAATAAAACGACACCTTTTCATTTACTGTATAATGTCTTCAATCTCATTTTGTAAAAAAAAAAATTGTGAGAAAATCGAATCGTGAAATCAAAATCGTAAATCGAATCGTGAGTTGAGTGAATCGTTACATCCCTACTCCAGAACACTTGGAAAATATGGCACAAGTCGAATGGGATCACTCTGTGATCCTTCTGCTTCTTTTTCTGCTTGAAGCTGTACGCTATTCATTGCCATTATATGGATGGGAGCAAGCAAAACATGTTTTTTAAATTTTGTGGGCTGAAGAAGAAAGAAGGACATATGGCATTAGAACATCACCAGGGTGAGTAAATAATTACTTAATTTTCATTTTTAAGTTAACTATTGCTGTAATAAGAAAGTGCTGAACATATATGAACAAATAAAGCATAAAAGCAACTTACCTCTCTTGTTTTTTCTTCAACCTATCAGACAACTAATAAATGGGAGAAAAAAAAAACAAGACATTATCACTGACATCTTTATCACTGAGCACACATGCTAACTGAAACAGACAAATGACACTTACTTTAGCATTTTCATCTTGTAGTTTTGTGATTTCTGCCTGCTTGGACATCTGAAAATGAAAATAAATATTACAACAAGAAATGTCTTTTGTAGGGACTAAAATATGGATTAACATAATAATAGAATAAGAATATGCAACCTGATCTTTGAAAAAGTGAATCAATCAGAATTCAAAATGAAATGAATAAATGAACTGAAAATACAATAATGTAAAAATGTATCATCAAATTAAAGTTATTTTTAATAAGCGACTTTCTAAAATGTTCTATTCTAAAATTATCTATTCATTCTAGAAAACATTTTGAATATTTAAACCTGCAAAATGCAATTTTGACATGAAAGTATTCTCTGGAGCAAAGTGAGAATGAAGGTGTCCAAAATTAGCACCCACGACGAGGGTAAAAATACACACTCATCAGCAAAATAAATCCTAGCATTTTGTCCTTTTGTCTGTTTCCTGCCATTCTGTGTATTTAGAGGGCAAAACTGATGCTTTTACCTCTAGTGTCAGGAGTTGTTCCCTCAGTAAGCATTTCTCCTCCATTTCCGTTTGAAGCTTTAATGCCACCTCTGAAAGCCAGCGTTAACAGATATTAATGCACATGACCCCTAGAGTTTGAGAAGTGTTCAACTGAAGCTCAGTCAAAGTCAGACCATTGTGCTGCTATATGAAGATCCAGAACTCATCCTTCCCTGGTTCTACTCTGTTAACTCCTCGGTAAGTTTGATAAGGTCACAACTTTAAAAGGAAGTTGTCAAAAAGATGTACTCACCGCTCAGCTCATTATCTCGCTGTTCTAGTTTGACGCTTTGCACTTCGGCCTAAAGAACACAGGAGGAGACCAAAAATATATACATATAATGAAATGAACTCTTTATCACAAAGGGTTTTAACAGCAGGTTCCAGTAAGCATTTCTCCTCCATTTCCGTTTGAAGCTTTAATGCCACCTCTGAAAGCCAGCGTTAACAGATATTAATGCACATGACCCCTAGAGTTTGAGAAGTGTTCAACTGAAGCTCAGTCAAAGTCAGACCATTGTGCTGCTATATGAAGATCCAGAACTCATCCTTCCCTGGTTCTACTCTGTTAACTCCTCGGTAAGTTTGATAAGGTCACAACTTTAAAAGGAAGTTGTCAAAAAGATGTACTCACCGCTCAGCTCATTATCTCGCTGTTCTAGTTTGACGCTTTGCACTTCGGCCTAGAGAACACAGGAGGAGACCAAAAATATATACATATAATGAAATGAACTCTTTATCACAAAGGGTTTTAACAGCAGGTTCAGTTTCTACAAAGCAGCTCCACAAATAAAACGCCATTAAACACAGAAATCAGTGGATGTTGAAAGGAAAACACTTCATGAAAGCTGACATTATGCATATGGAAACAAATCGACCCCATTTAAAGGGGTCCTATTATGCTCTTTTACAAAGTCTTGATTTTGTTTTGGGGGTGTACTAGAACAGGCTCTCAGAAAAGTGATTTCAGTTAAAGCTGCAGTCCGTAACTTTTTTTGATTAAAAATGATCCGAAATCAATATTTGAGCAAGTACATAACCAGCCAGTGTTCAAAACTATCGCCTTACTTTAGCCCGACTCACAACGGTTAGCTTATAATAATGTTTTATAATTTGAGTGAAACGGGTAGGTTTTCGCGAGAAATTCGAGCATGGCACTGCGTCATTACGTCACGTCTGTAAACATAAAGAAGTTGTCCCGGCTACTAGGCTATCGCATGTGAGGATCCTGCAGGTGGCCTATCGTTTATAGCCTTTTCTTACAGCAGCCAAAATAATTAAATGTATCATTTTGATGGCGGACCTCAATCCATAAAGGATTATGTGTTTATGAAACACATGTGAATGAAATTAAATTATATGGCCGTTATAAATGTGCTTCTGATTACAGATAGCCTTGTATTTTAAAGACAACCAGTTCGAAGGGAGCATA